AGATCCAGCTTCGAACAGCATTGAAGTTCTGAGGTCGGTATTTCAAGAGTGTTCAATAACATACATGGAAGCTAGTCAAGTTTGCTTCTAGAATGTTGAGAATACAAATTGGCCACAGCGGTAGTTTACGTCTGGACAAATATTGGCTTATATTCTACTAAGGTCTGATCTCGAGAAGATAACCCGGGCTGATGTCTGTACTCCTAAATACGGTCTACTTCCATCTTATCGCAAGCATAAAAAGGGTAATTGGGGTTATCATTAATTCCGATCATGCTGTTTCTTTGAAACTTTTTAAAGTGTCCATAGTGAGAATTAATAAATCATGTGTTTCATGTTCAGTCCTCTGTGAAATTGTTTGACATGATCCTACCATATTTTTTTATCATGACTATTTGTCACTAGAGCACAGATCATCCGTGTTTCATCCATACATCTTTTTGCAAGTAGCGTCCAGCTATGGAATGAAAACTTCAAACTAGGTTTAAAAGAGTCGTAAACGGTGAGTCGTCTCATCTCCTGCCTTGGTAGAAAAACGACTGCAATGCCGTTCATAGCCAAACTGCCCCCAACCACAAACCGCCTATAAGATAACTTAAGATCAAGATGGCGACTTTGGAGCGAGGGAAAAAGGGAGATCTTCCACAATGCGGGCGAAGTTGCTCGATAGAGCAATGAAATGTTATAATTCGGAACTTATTTATGTATATGCTTGCAAACTTATCTGTGAAAATCTTGTTAGTGCGATTCAGGCATCCAACACATGTTTTGTGTCTATGATAGCAACTGCAAGAGATTCGTTTAAAGCCATTAAATAAAAAGAAATTCCGCATTGCGCACTTTTCAGAAGCAACAACGGATTAGGCGATGCACCTCACATATTGTCTGCTCTGTGACCGTGCATAATCTCATTTGGAGCCCGCACAAAGCTTGTACAACGCTACATAAACCTATTTACTGTGCAAACCCATAAACTTAGTTGAACACACGAACGCTCTCACTGGTTGCCACAAAGCATTTCGTGTGTAATAAAATTTTACCCGGACGGTTCGGTGTTCGTTGGAAAACTTTATAGTTAGGTACCAGCGCAGCATGAATGAATGAAGATCTCCCATGGAAAAATATAAACAAATGTTCATTATTCTGGTTCAGGACTTCTCGGATTCTCATAGACACAATCCACTGGGTTTCGCGCCGAATCATCTCAGTTGGTCGCGATTCCGATCCGCTGGTAGATTCTGTGAAGAACTGCTCTTGCTAGGGCTAGTGTTAGCAACGCTGAGCCCATGAGCTCACCTACCGGTCCGTGCGAATTCGGAATAGCCCCTTAGGCTAACAAGAATTAGGTAGGGAAATTATATATTTTTAAATTTAGACTCGTGAAATGCTTATTGAAAGTTTTCGGTGTTGAAATCCTTTTAGTTTGATATAAACTTTCGAAAGTTTGTTTCAGCGTGGGTTTAGCGAAAATTAGCTTTTATTCGTGTTAAATAAATGTTTGAGTTTTATTATCAATCTCTCTCTGGCTCTGGTTTTCGATACTAGGATATCCAATGATGGCTTAACGTATTGTTCACATGAGTGGTACCACAATCCGAGTCCTTACGGATGCATCAGGTCCAATAACCTTTGCATTAGACGCCTTCAGCTCTAACACTAGGAGCAGGCTTAGGGAACCCGGTAACCGTACTCGTCGAACTCGACAAAGAGTTGAACGTGAAACCTAACCCATGAATTAGCTCGCTGAGTTTCTCGCCGGATCTTCTCAGTGGGTCGCGATTCCGATCCGGTAGTAGATTCATTCGCGAAGCGGCTGCTCTTGAGCTGTTGGGTCTCCTTCGGAGGCGCTCGGGCAGCTGTTAGTAAATCCCACCCCTTCTGGCTGAGCCTTTGCTCGCCCACCTGTCCTGGTGAAAATGTAAAGGCCTCCGGTCCACCAGTAATCCTTCAATCATTAAACACATTAACCACAATCCGACCGATTAGTACAGTGTAAAAATTATGCATTTAGGGTATCAGTGGCCACAGTTTAACACCCAGGAAAAACATCATCATCAGCCTAAAGCAGTCCACTGTTGCACATAGGCCTCTCCAATTGCACACCACTCAGCATGATCCTCGGATCCTCATCCAGCTTTTGCCAAATACCCTGCATAGATCGTTGATCACGGAAAATATAAATTATGTTATACCGTGAAAATATGCTGAATATCTATGTCTATCTATTCTTCAGCCCACAGACGTCCACTGCTAGACATAGGCCACCCCCAAGCCTCGTCACAGCGACGGGTCCCTGCTGCTGCCTGCATCCAGCGGATTCCCGTGAACCTCAATAGGTTGTCGGTCCACCACGGTCCTCCCACTTTACGTCTTACAGTATGCGGGCGCCACTCGAGAACTTTTCGGCTCCAGCGGCCGTCTGTTCTACGAGCAATGTACCCCGCCCACTACCACTTTAACATCGCAGTTCCTTGGGCTAAGTTGGTTACCACGGTTGTCCTGCGAATCTTTTATCATACATATATGCAATGCAATACTGAAAATTTACTAGCTCAATATTAAATGAATTATTAATATTTAAAAATGATACACTATACGTATGTATGTATGTCGATGCCCTAGCTCGATGACTGACCTTCATATTTATCAACACATGTTTCCACAGTGAAACACGAGGTTCTTCTCTTCTTTTTCTTCACCTTATCCAACTAGGTGGGATCGGCACAGCTAATTTTTCTCTGCCATTATCTTCTATCAGCCGTCAGCTCAACACTCATTCCTCTCTCTCTCATATCGTCATTCACACACTCCATCCATGTCTTCTTCGATCGACCTCTCTTCCGACTCTCTAATGAAGCACAAGATTAGTGAATGAATTTCGTAAACTGAAAAACAAATTAAAATGAATTATTACATTTACAGTTATGAAAAACAAACCGAAACACAAACAATATTCAAGAAGAGCCGGCGTTAGTATTGCGTATTTTACGCGCGGCTCTACATGGGAACTTACTAAACCGAATATATGAAGCATAAAGAGGCATTGCCACGAATTTTATACCATACGATATGAATACGATGTTTTTAAATAGCAAAAAATTCTTCTTTTTTTTGTAGGTTTAGCTTATCTAGTGAAAAATGATTTGGATGCCCTACTACTAAATAGAAACAAATCACAAATTATAGGCTACATATAATAATTAATTTTTTTTTATTACAGATCTATGCAGACTTTGCGGTAGAAGGTACTTCATGATTATTTAAATTAATAAATGTAAATAAGAACGTTTTTGACGTGATATAATTCGATGGAGCCGGCTGCACGCACAAAAAAACATGACTCATGCGGCGTTATCTCGCTCTGAGGCGTTCCATTTAAGGCTTGAAGTTCAAGCGAGAGCGCGCAACGAGCGACAAAGAGGCACAATCGGCCTCCGCATTCGGCAGCGTTCGACATCTGTCTCTGTCCTACTTGAGTGAGCGATGCATCAGCGTGGACAGCTGCTATACAATAATACAATTCAAAGCACATTCATACTTGTAAAAAAACTATGTAATAGTGATTTCCATTTACCTCCTTCTCTATATCCATAGAAAATATCTATCAAACAAATAAAATTAAAATTTTCTTTTAAAAAATGAAACCATTCCATCAGTATTTTCTTATGACGATGTCATGTTCAGCTATCGTCAGTAAACGGACTTTACAGACAACCGATTTTTTTATTATTTATGTCAAATTGAGTCTGTTTACGAATACGAAAGTATGCTGGTAATTTTGTTTCATTTTTCAGTAATTTCGACTTGTTTGACGTTTATATTTTGTTTATATTGCTTCAATAGGCACGTAGCGTTCTAGGTGAAGCCATCGGGGTAAACATTTGACGGACTTCAAGATTTTTTTCGCCAACCTATTCGTTGGTAGTCTAAAGGGCTATTTCAGCTTCGCTATTACTGGTAGGTAAGCTCACGGGGCTCAACCTGAGAGAATGTGCTAACACTGGTGTTAGCAGTGCTTGACATAATCTACCAGCGGATTGAAATTGCGACCAATTGAGAAAACCCGGCGAGAAGGTCAGTGGCTTGTGCCTATGGGTTAGCTCGTCGAATTCTTCGTCGTAATCGTTGACTTCGGACGGTTACCAGTGATTGAACAGCCTCAAAACACCGAGAGTGGATCTGGGGATCTGAGAAGACGGCGATCGTCCGAATCCGATATGTCGCAAGCTATAAATGTCTCACAAAACACTCGTACACCGGACACAAGAAATGTGCCCGCAAAGAATATCATATGATAATATATTTTGCACTGCGTCTCTACTACGGATATTCTGACTTTATGTTTATGTTATATGCATGATTTGACCATTTGGCAGTACGGTTCTCTTAGTTAATTAACCGTGCCGCTCGTAAATGCGATAACTTAATCGTTCTAGACTGGACATGAGCCAAATCGTGTTTTATCGTAGATACACTCAAGCCCTGTGATGATCCCTGGAGCATAGGGATCATCTCGTATAATGGCGAATGGTCATAATGGGCCGGACCCTGTCTATCGAAAAATTATGGTGAATTACGTGACTGCACAACTTCACTATTGTAGGACTCCGCTTCCAACAGTCAGGAAATAACACAAAGATTGCAGTTGTTCACTTAATTCTGTATTGCTTTATTTGTAATTCCACTTGTACAATCTTTAGCTATGTGCTCAAACATAATACACCGCTTTTCTGCCGTTTTTTCAGACTACCGTCTTTTTTATTATGTCACGTCTCCACTACTGCCATTGGCCCCACCAACAGTGTTGCTATTTTTACTCGGCACACTTAACGTCATTTCCGCCAACACTCAACGCATACGGATTACATAACTCCTTATCAATGACCCGGTTTACAACGTGGTCACCGATCATTAGGTCCGTTATTATCAATGTTATCAATCATTATCATCGTTCCAGTAAATTTAGATACACAATTAAATGTAATGAAAAAGACGAAAGAATGTTACGTTATTTATTGCTTGTCGTATTTTTTGTGAAAGTTTTTGCCGGTGAGGAGGAGGAGAATCGAATTGTGGTCCTAAGCGATGGTGCGGTTAGCGGAAAGAAATATTGGAATGGAGATTACTATGAGTTCTACGGTGTGCCATACGCTACTGTGCCTAAAGGAAAAGACAAGTTTAAGGTAACTCAATTTAATTAATTTCGGTGGGCAGCGGCTTGGCTCTGCTCTTGGCATTGCTGAAGTACATGGGCGACGGTAACCACTTACCATCAGGTGGGCCGTACGCTCGTCTGCCTACAAAGGCAATAAAAAATCAATAAAAAAAAAACGCCAACTATTACACTAAATTTTGTTTTCCCTTAATAAACATGATCACATGCAAACTAGTGTTTTACCAAATCCCGTAAACATGACAACTGAAATGCCGATAGAGACACCACATTTTTTAATGTATAGACATAGTGACCTTAATTTTTGTATGAAAACACTGAGCATGGAGCAAAAAAAAAGCCTAACTATGCTATTATCGGTTAGTTTAATTATTACTTTTTACATGACGTTTAGCAATTGCGTTTAGCGTTTGCAAATGCCTACACTAGTGGACTAACCTATCGGGAAAAAGGGTTGTGTTTTACGCTAAAAGTTCGTCCAAAGATTTTATTTTTATTGCTTAGATGGGTGGACGAGCTCACAGCCCACTTGGTGTTAAGTGGTTACTGGAGCCCATAGACATCTACAACGTAAATGCGCCACTCACATTGAGATATAAGTTCTAAGGTCTCAAGTATAGTTACAACGGCTGCCCCATCCTTCAAACCGAAACGCATTACTGCTTCACGGCAGAAATAGGCAGGGTGGTGGTACCTACCCGTGCAGACTCACAAGACGTCCTACCAGCAGCAGTTGAATATTGCCACTGCCAATAAAACATGAAAGCTTTATCCTCTCCACTCCACTGTATCGTTTAACCTCTGTCCTAGCATTCAAACCGCTACCAGCCTTGCGTCTTACGACAGGGCGTACCTACCAATATAGTCTTAATTTAAGTCCTACCAACTTGTGACATGATTCCGAAGTTTACATTTTATAATAAAATTTAATATATTTTTTAAACCAAACGCATAGCTCCGTCTCAAGTCTATAATACCCCCTACCACCGCCAATTGATTAAGATATTGATATAATATTGATTAATTATTATTTTCATAATCAATAAAATAATCACAATACAAAATATTTCTTTATGAATTTGGATATTATAAAAATATAGTTCCGAAATATTTGTGCATAGTTGAGGTCTTTGGATTGGCTATGAAGGGTAGTCCATGGATTAAAATCTTAAAGTTTTATTGTTAAGCAATCATGCTTCTTCAATGGACAGTGCGTAACATGATCACAATTTTATTGTTAATATAGCTGTCATTTTGTCGTCATGTCTTAAGATGACAGTGATGTCACGGTACCTATAGACTCCGGTAATCTGTGAACATAATCAGACACAGAAATCGGTGCCTTTCTGCCACAAAAAAAATGTTATCCATGTCTAACGGATAATCAAATCGTCAAACGCATACAATACATGTCCATACCATAACAATTAGTCACGATTATAAAAATTCGTGCTCACGATACATTTAAAAGCCATTTTTAAACTCGTAAAAGTAATATTCCTGATTTATATATTTATTTTCAGTCGCCATTACCTGCGGAACCATGGGAAGGTGTGAAGGAAGCCAACTCACTGAGCAGTGTGTGCGAACAAGTCTATTTGACAGATGACCCAGACGATGAGGTCATGTTGCACGGAGAGGAGGAATGTCTGACTATGAATCTACTGGTTCCTGAAATAGCAAACGAAAATAATTTAGTTCCAGTAATGGTTTACGTACACAGCGGAGCATTCGCTGGTGGCAGTGGCAACATGGCAAAATATAATTACTTGGCAAGGCACGACGTAATCGCTATAAGTTTTAATTACAGAGTCGGAGCAATCGGCTTTGCTTGTCTTGGAACTGAGGATATTCCAGGAAACGCCGGCCTCAGAGATCAAATAGCGGCTCTGAAATGGATCAATAAAAATATCAAGAAATTTGGTGGCGATCCTAACAGAGTAACACTTGGTGGGTACAGCGTTGGAGCTACTATGGCTGAATTGCTAATGCTGTCCAAAGCCACCGATGGATTGGTTCATAAATTGATTTTAGAAAGTGGTTCAGCTCTTGCCCCTTTTGCAATTAACAGACATCCTATTACTACAGCTAGAAATATTGCTATTTCGATCGGCTTCAACGATACTGGAAGCCTCAAGGATCTGAATGATTTCCTCATTAATGCTCCCATTATTGACTTGGCGTCAAAAAGCAAAAATTTCTATCTAACCAACAGTACTTTTGGTTTTGCTCCGTGCATCGAGACGAAAATAGAAGGTTTAGAGCCCATTATCACTCAATCTCCTCTTGACATCATCAACAGTGGTGACTACAAGAAAATCCCAATCATAACAGGCTTCGCAAACATGGAGGGCATCAGCCGTACAATCAAGTTCGGCGATTGGAGAGATAAGATGAATGAGAACTTCGCTGATTTCCTACCAGCGGACTTGAAGTTCGAAAACGAAAAATCAAGAGATGATTTCATTAAGGACGTCCTAAAATATTATTTCAAATCCGAGAAAATAACTCACGAATCGCTCCAGGCTTACATTGATTATTTTTCCGATTCAATGTTCAAATATTCTATAATGAAATCGGCGAAGCTCCACGCTCGGAAATCTGATAAGCCGGTATATTTGTATGAGTTTACTTACGTCGGTAAATTGAACATGAAGCATTATTACATGGATCGAGTGAAAGGTGCTAGTCACAGAGACCAAACGGCCTATGTTTTGGATTTCTTCGATCACGTTACCAAGCCCAAGGACATGGATACAAGAGACAGACTAACGACTATGTGGACTGATTTTGTAAAATATGAGTAAGTAAAATTTGGATTTTTTAAACATGATTTACAACATTTTGTTATTAAAAACTTGACGATTGATGCCGTAGAACAAGATTAGACTACGAGACTCTGATTAGTTTTATGAACAAACATTAACTTCAAGTGCCGTAATCAAAACAAATCCTCTCAAAAAATTATCTCATTTAAGTTTACGTAGAACGCCCAGACGTAATAAATATTATGATGTTAATAAATATCTTGAATTTCAATTTTCAGCGACCCCACTGCGTTCGAAAGTTTACTGATGAACGTCAAATGGCTGGAATACAATGAGAAGGAACAAAATTATTTGGAAATCGGCGCCAAATTGAAAATGAAAAAAGATATATTCGTCAAAAGATACGTTTTCTGGGACAAAGTTTACACGAAGCATTATTGGACCCCGACTGCTGTTGGTGTTGAGAGTACAAAACAATAAAAATGTTTTTTATTTCATTTTTCATAACAGACTTTTTAGTACTATCTTAGATATTCTTCATATATATAACTAAAAATATTTTAAAAGCTTAATCTGGTGTTTATCGTTATGATTTGACTATTGCTAACCTTTTTCGTGGTCACAAACGACTGGATATCAGGGAGGGATGATAGAAGAATTATCTGCCGACGTTTGGACATGGCGCCAACCAAAGTTAGACTAGAACTAACATTATCTTGATGTCTGGCAATTCGTTTGTGTGTATAGAATATTTGAAACCTCGAAAATTATTCAAAATAATAAACGCAGGATCAAGGTATTTGAATAATTTTAATAACTAAACGATAGCATCGTCCATTGATAATATTTAGAGCAACCGGGGGTAGCCGTTGTTTCAATCCAATAGAGACTTGATTGACTCCAATAGAGATCTTGTCTTTGTTTTTTTGATTGTTTTTAAGACGTAACTGAGGTCACAGCTTGCCAGGTGTAAAGTGAAAATGGAGTTCATAGGCATCAGTTTGAATGAGACTTGAGGTCGTAATCTCAATTGTGTTTTACAACTGCCTTACATTTCAAACTGAAACGCATGACTACATCGCATCTAAAATCAACAGAGTGATGGTATTTACTACTACGGAGGAACTTCGGTTCCCTCTGTATTTTGTACCGCATGTTTCATGGGGAGTGCTCTGAGGAATTGTTCGAGATGATACCAACGTCTCGTTTTTACCAACGCACCGCCTGCCACCGGAGTAGAGTTCATCCATACTACCTGGAGCCAGTGCGGTCATCCACAGTGCGTTTCCAGAGGTATTTTTTGCCACGTACCATCCGGCTATGGAATGAGCTCCCCTTCACGGTGTTTCCCGAGCGCTATGACATGTCCTTCTTCAAACGAGGCTTGTGGAGAGTATTAAGCAGTAGGCAGCGGCTTGGCTCTGCTCCTGGCATTGCTGAAGTCCATGGGCTTCGGTAACCACTTACCATCAGGTGAGCCGTACGCTCGTCTGCCTACAAAGGCAATAAAAAAAAAATTGTATGGGCTTACAAATTTCAATGGATTCTGGTAAAACTTAAAATCAGATACACAGTAAGCCCGTCTTCCAATTAAACCAAAAAAAAACACTTTTAATGAACACGAGTAATTTTAGAATCGGTTTACGACAAACGAATTCAACTTCAAAAAACAAAATGGACTCCCTGTGGCGTCGCAAAATATGCTTTCTTTGCCTTTGCATCATTTGGAATCGTTTGAATATTTGGAAAAGGGGTGATCTTGTCTGAATGTGTCAGTAACATTGTTTGGTGTAAGACTTAGGTTGATAGCATTCGAAGTGTTGTTTTGTTGAATCGTCAAAATCAGTGGGAAGTTCATGAGGGAAATCCTTAAAAAAAATATTCGTTGAAACCTTTATCGGTAAATATTTTATTAAAAACTTTTTGTGGTTTCTTAAATGTTTGGCATAAAATTACACCATGGTCATGTTGCCTTACCTAGACTAGTTAGCGTAAATAATAATAAGAATTTTGTGGAAAATATTTCTTTTTGGTATGCTAAAACACAAGATTTTTTAAATATATTGTTACACTAGCTGTGCCCGCCCGCTTCGCCGGGCATTTAAAATTAACATTATTACATATTAAGCGCTAAGTACTATATTATTATTATATTATCATTAGCGCCTCCACAACGATTCTCATCATTAACGCTCCCGCAACTGGTGCAGGGAGTCCAACACTCATATAAATATTAGCCTATCCATTAAGTACATGTATTTTCTACACGGATACTAAATTTCAAGTCAATCGGATGCATGGTTCAGTAGCTATAACGGAACATCCGTAAAATCCACTGTAGATTTATATATTAGTAGAGATAGTATAGATAGGTAAACGGAAAAAAGCATTTTCCGGCAGTAAAATTTTAATACTTCGCACCGGTGCTCTCCAAACAACAGATTTAATAATCTCACCGCCGATTTAAAAAGTTTATTATCGAAACAATTGCCATTCGCATTTGCCTCATAAAATTCAGTTCGCAAGTTCGCAAATTGGCTGCAACCCCCGTTGTGTTTCGTAAAACGGAAACTTTCATATTATAATATAAATTTATTTACGAAATATTTCCGCCAACTTTACAACAGCCACGTCAAATTTTAAGCCGTAAATAAGCCGGCCTACAACGGGCTCGACTGACAGGGAATCGCTTCAAAATATTGTCCCTTCAATGAAAGGGTGAGTTAAGTACAAAATATATATAAAACCACGTTACGTAACTTTGCTTAAGTTTTGTGAACACAAACCTTTGGTTAGGCGATTTTGAACCGTACGGGTGTGGCACAGCCCGGTTATTGTGTTTGAAAATAAAAGTGATAGAGTCGAATTTCGCTTGGCAAGTGAACATTGCGCTGTCAATTGTTTGGTCTCAAGCAGGTGCTGCACAGATAAGTGACGTCAATTTATAAGTGTCAAAGTCAAGGGTTTCAGAAGGTGACGTGTCTGGTAAACGTTATCATATTATATTCTTTTTGAAATTCTGTTGTATATTTGTTTTGAATTGAATATTCCTGTATTCTCTTTAAAACTACAAAACGTAGCGGCTGTTTGAAATGTTAGTGAAAATGAATATAGTTTTTTTTTTATTGCTTCAATGGGTAGACGAGCTTCACAGCCCACCTGTTGTTAAGTGGTTACTGGAGCCCATAGACATCTACAACGGCTGCCCCACCCTTCAAACGAAACGCATTACTGCTTCACGGCAGATATGGGCAGGGCGGTGGTACCTACCCGTGCGGACTCACAAGAAGTCCTACCGCCGGTAATTACGCAAATTATAATTTCGCGAGTTTGATTTTTTTTACACGATGTTATTCCTTCACCGTGAAACTCAATCGTGAACATTTTTTAAGTGCTTATTTCATTAGAATAATTGGTACCCGCCTGCGGGACTCGAACACCGTTGCATCGCTAGATACGAATGCACCGGACGTCTTATCCTTTAGGCCACGACGACTTCAAATTCGTTTGATATTTCGTATTTTATAATAATCAAGATAGACTAATTAAATTTAACCGTATCAAACTTTAATCTATAGAACCATATTTGCATTACACGTCTCTATAATAATTGATTGAATTTTGTATACGCGAAATAGCTTGGTGCCTCAAGTGAAATGGTATTCAGGCCTCGACGAGATTCGGTTTGTATAGCATCGCTCAGGGCACTGGAATGCGTTACTATACATACAGCCAGTTGTTTTGATGTTTTAATTAACTTTTTTTAGGGAAAGTTGCCTTGTTTTAACTATTAAGACACCCGATTTTCTCATACAAATGTTACAGACAGCTACTAATTCTGTAAAGTATATTTATTCTACACTTTTATTCACATAAGACGCGTTTACGACTGAAAATGAAATGAAGGCCCTAAGAAATTATTCCTTTGAATATCTACCGATGATAGATCGTATTTATTATAAGCCCCCGCTACCCTATATAATAATATTATAATCATATATTCCTGTGAAGTTGCTGTCATACGACGACTTGCATCAGACGGTAGCAAGAATTATTTTTTTGGGGATTTTATGACCTGGTAACTAAGACCTTTAAGTCATCTCTTATTTTTAATTTATATTCATATTTATATGAAAAATGATAATATTGAGTAAAATGAAATGAAACGAAATGATATTAAGATGATTAATTTGAGACATTAATCAACTGGGATGAAATGAAATGAAATGAAATGAGATGAGATGAGATGAGATGAGATAATACGAGATGAGATGAGATGAGATGGCTTTGTTTCATTTGCCCATATTTGTGCACTTTCACAAATATTAAACAGTTAATAAACCACCGTTGTTACACATTTAAGCCCGAAGAAACACTAAATAGACAAAATAAAACAGATCACACAACTTCACTCCTCGCGTTCCCGCCAAAAAGTCTCGATAACAACAATTAGAGAATAATATAATCATAGATAACATTGAGTCTTGAGAGCGATATAATTAATATTATTTGTAGGCAGAAGGTCATATAGCCTAAGATCTTATTTTCCAAATTAATTATTATCTGAGTTCTCTAACTCTAACTCAACTAATTTTCAACTGTATGTCCATTTTTTAAGGTATTTTTTCATCTAGTAATTAACGTTGTACCTAACAATGTGTGGATCACTAAATGCCTAACTATGCCAGGAATGAAACAACAGGGCTACAGTAAGTGGTTCGGCTTGCATACCGTCACAACGCTATGCTCACTGGAATCCAATCCTGCTCATTTGAAACTACAGTGTGCTGCTTTTTAACAATAAGATCAAATGAAGTATATGCTAAAACTGAATGAATATATAATAAAAAAACATTTTAACAATTTTATAGATTTGGTGAGCGCAATAATAATGTATTTTATTATTTTCTAGGCATCTAAAATTATTTTAGTGAAGATAGGACTTGACGCCCTATGAAAAGCTCTATCTGTTAATTACCTTCGACTTTCATTCACGCGTTTTGTTTAGCGATATGTTGAAGTCACAGGTACTCAATGAACCAAAATCCCACCTGAAACCAAGGTCAGCCGAGGCATCGGAGGTAAAGCGAATATAATTTTACTGGTGGTAGGACCTCCTGTGAGTCCGCACGGGTAGGTACCACCACTCTATCTATTTCTACCGTGAAGCAGTAAGGCGTTTCGGTTTGAATGGTGGGGCAGCCGTTGTAACTATACTGAGACCTTAGAACTCATATCCCAATTTATGGGGGCATTAACGTTGTTGATGTCTATGGGCTCCAGTGACCACTAAACACCAGGTAGGCTGCGAGCTCGACCACCCATCTAAGCAATAAATAATCTCCGAGATACACACAGTCCCCCAATACGCTCCAATATCAGTGAATACGCAAATTCACAACTTTGTATCTCATTACAGGATTTATTTAATCTAACAATATACCGAATGTGTCGACGCTACGGCTCAAAGTGAGAGACAG